TGGATTTCCTGTGCCTGCAGAGAGAGAGAGAGACGTACGCAGAGAAGAGTGGTGAGGGAAGAGGCGGGACTAGGCAAAGGAGGTGGCACCAAGCCAGTCGAATCTCAACGTACACACACACACGCACGCACATACACACATGCATACAGTAGTCTTTACACGCAGGCTATTACATGTTGTAGCCTTGTAGGAGAGGAGGAACTGCTGTGCCGCACGGCGTCATGCGTGTTCAGGACGAAAACATTTCTCCGGAAAATGTACACGCAGCCAAAAGATGGCACCCATGCTGCTTCAATTATTGTCATTTTACAAGACGAGGAGGGGAGAATTAATAGAAAACATGAGTCAAAGTGAGCAGGGGGCCTCCACTGCACCGTAAAACTGGCTGCTGTTTAACTTCGGATTTGGCCGGTTTTCCCTCGGTTTGGTTCTCTGATCGGGTAACCTGCAGGTCGTGCCAATGAAAAATCTGACTTTTATTTGAAACCTTTTCATTAAATGCATCAGAACTAAGAATTCCCAATTTTTCAGGACTTTTTACACACTAGGTTTCAAAATGTCCTTTGAACTTCTTTTTAATTTAGTCTAATAAAGCTAACAGTAGGGAAACAGCCTCTGGACGGGGATGATCTTGTATTTCCTTCATTATTGTCATTGGATTCTAAACTAGCACCTCCATCATGAAACTTGCAGTGTTTTTATTTTTTTATTTTTTTTTATATTGACAGTGGTCCAGGCTTAAGGAAAAAAACAAAGTTATTGACTATAAAGAAAAGCCTGATGGCTGCAACTCTGCTATTCTTCTGATGTTGCTTTCTTTTGTCTCTTAAGTCATTAACTCTGAACATTCACTAGTAATTTAGTGAATTATGTATGTAATGTATGTAAAAAAAAAAAAAAAAACTGCATCAGCCAACACTGTCTGATATTCACTGTGAGCATTATTGTAAATGAAGAAAACGTCTTTTTAACCCAGATCAGCAAAATAGAATAGACTGTATGTAGAACTGCAATGTTTAGCTGTGCTATGCTACTGAAATCAGAGGGAAATAGTGATGAAATGACAACAAACTGCAGCTGTGCAGCCAAAAAAGACAAATTTGAAGTAGCCAGCACCATCAACAGGTGTCACGTCTCAAGTAAATTCTGGAAATTGATCAGAAAAAGTGATGCTTAAGAAAAAAAAAAGTTGTAAATCTTAATCATGGTGCAATTTTCACTCATAAAATAGTGCAGTGCTTCACGATAATAATAAAAAATCCAACATTAAAGTCAAGAACTTTCATAACTTTATTATTATTCACCATAATAATAGTATCACTTGCACTCATTCTCAACAGCTTTTTTTTTTTTTTTTTTTTTTTTTTTTGACGTTGGCAAAATTATTTCCCTCTCTTTTGTCTCTTTAATCCGCACCGTAAAATCATCTAAGTACCTTCTCGTTTTTCTGTCGGCTGCGTTTCTCTGTGTTATTGTCTTTTTCAGCTACTCTTGGTTTTACAGGAGGAAGTGGCTTTAAAAAGAGGGGATGTTGAAAACAGGCAAACACAACCACACTGTGCTCTCTGCTCATCTGTTGGCACTGCGGCCCGCGCTCACCTCTCCCCCTGGAGGCTTCAGTAGCAAACAGCTCGTTAGGAGCGCCGGCTCGCTGGCAGAGAGCAGGAGGTTCTGAAACTGGAGTGGCGCGTCTGGAACTGATAAAGAAGACTTTTATTTTTTTTTTTTTCCATTTGCTGTGAAAAAAGTTCATGCATACTCATGGGTTTCTTGCCCTTTTTTCTTTTACTTTTTGTCTTACTTGCATGTTTCGTGTCATCAAACTGACCTGAAAATCAGACGCTATAGGAAACGAAAAGTAGTTTTCAGACAATAATTGGATTCGCAAAGGCAAAAATGTAGGTGAAGAGTCTTGGTCTGATATTATGATTTGATTTTGATGAGTTTAACAGACAACCCCAACCCTATAAGAGGGTAAAATACCTTTTCACTTTACACGTAAGAAGATATTTCAACCCAGTTATTAATTCAGATCAAACAAGCAAAATGCTTGATAACTCCCCACCCAAAGTTCTCTCTGAGCAGTCCTTTGTCGGCATTACCGTAAAAATGAAGTCAGAGCGTAACCTAATAATTGGATGGTGGTCTTGATATTCAGTACGCTCAGTGGAAAGACGGCTCTGGCCGACCGAAGGAACCAAACACTTCAAGCCTCACCCTTTTGGCAGCTTCCACATCCCTGTACTTGTCACTTTTTTTTTTTTTTTTTACCTAACACCCAGTCCTCACACAGCACCCATAAACGCCTCACCATTACCCACTCTGTTTTCATTTTCGGACCAGAGACGGAGAAAGTTCCAGGCAAAGAAAAGCAAAGCCGAAGACGTTAGCGGGCGAGGAATAAAGCCCGCATTGTTGGCAGGGGAAGTGCCGGTGCCGATAATTAATCATCCCGAGTGTTTGTCTTTCCTGACGTAGCATCCTCTCCAAGAGCCGCCATAAGAGGGAAAACAAAAATATATGAGGCGTTGAAAGGGGGGGAAATAAAGACGGTCATTAGACTCATTTCCCCTCCGCAATGGTTTCCACTGGTTGGATGATATTCTGGTGATTGAACAGAAGGATTTTTCTGTGGGACGGCCGTCTGCAGCTGTTTGTTTGTATGTGTTTTCACTTAGTGGAGGTGATGACAAAACGATTAGCACAAGCACCGGCTTTCAGGCTGTCTGTGCGTTTCATGGGCTGCGTTTCAGCTTAAGAAAGAAACGATTACTTGTGGTGGAGAAAAGAAAAAAAAGAGTCCAAACAAAATGTATGGATGCACGAATCTCTTTTTGCACCAAAATAGGTTGATCACCCTTTATACAAAGCTGAGCAAAGATAGGGTGGAGAGAATGAAGCAATGAAGTAGAGTTCGAAGGGGGAAGGGATGAACACAGTAGAAGGTCAAGGGTGATGAACTGAAGCCGTAATGAGGTTGTACGTTGGGGGCGGTGGCGTCGGGAGGGGTTGGTGGAAACATTAGAGAACATATTGGCGTGGAGATCATAATGGTTTTCATAATGTAGATGGAGGTATGTGGGGATGTGAGTTGCGTGACTGATCTGTGCTTGCTACAACGAATGATGGATCAAAGGGCTGATCTGTCGGAGGGAGCCACATGCCCCACCGACCGAACAGCCACAGGACAGACACGCAAACATGCCTCCAAACATGCAGTGATGGGAGAGCATGTGACAGTTCAGTAAACCAAACTCTGGAGAGCAGGTGCCTCGCAAAAAGCGTTCATACCCCCTTGAATGTTATCACATCGTTTGACGTTACCAACCGCAAATTGGGAATTCGTGTGACGGATTGACACAAAGCGGCACAAAACTTTGAGATGGAAGGAAAATGAAAGAGGAAAGAAAAAAATCTTTCACAAAGTCTGGCATGTGTTTTGTATTAAGTCCCGTTGAGTCAAGAAAAACACATTTTGCTGCATTTGAAGCTCTAAGGCTTTCAGAGTATGTCTCAACCAGCTTTGAGACTTGACATTTTTGCTCTTTTTTCTTTGAAAATACCTCAGACTCACCTGTCACCATCAGTTTTCAGGCCGTTTTAAGGGTGAACACACACTAGCCCTGTTTAGTCCGCTTTAATATAACTAATTCATTTTCTAGAAGGTCCAGTTTGTGTGAATGTGCAGTTGAACTATGGTGCGAACCAAAACAGCGAACTCTGGTCCGCCTATAAACCTAAGTCCCAGTTCAGTTGACGTAAACTCTTCCGTGGTTCACAGTGAATGCTAAGCGGATCGGAGGCCGCTCCCAAAGCAGGAAACAAAACTGTAGCGCAGGGCATTATGGGTAAATACAACCAAATCAAAGGTGTGTGTGTAGCGCTAGCACGAGAAATGGCTTGTCATCTTTTACCAAAGAAAACGAGAAATTCTACAACTGCTAAAAACTGACGACACTCCGTTTGTGTTTATGTTTTGTGTTAGGATCAGTGTCTTCTTCAGAGGTTTTCATGTCATTTACTTCAGTTGTTCTTGGTGCAGCGCCACCACAGGCTTCTCAGAGTAACGCTCTCCATGCCCAGCGTTTCAAGTCAGTTATGGCGGACGGCAAAGTCTTTGGTTGGCTTGCTGTGTAACCCTCTTTCCAACTTCAGATGATGGACCTTTGACGTAACATTTGAAGAAGATCATTGAGCATTAAGACTTTTATAAGGCACTGTCTTGTGCAGGCTTTACTTTAAGAGAGAAAATATCTGTGAGGTTGAGGATAATGAGAGAGTGTTGTGATATTTTAAAGAAAAAAGTAGCCAGAAGCAGGTTGTAGTTTAGTTCTGTAAATTTACATCTGCAAATGTTCATATTTTCTAAATAGTCTTAAATTTATAAGAAGTCACTCAAATTGCTCAAACTTTAAGAAGTCTTGTTTGTACTGGATTGGACCCACTATTAATGATCACTTTCAGGCTGAATCACACAGTATTTACTTCAACTACTAAGGATCTGAGGTTAGCTTTGCAGGTTGGGCAGCAAGAACACATAAGTCTGACATCCCATTTGCCCCAAACTTTCTGTGATTGTTGGATGTGCTTGTTTTGTGCTTAAGGAACCCTACAAAGTTAGACAAACCCTCAAACTGTTTCCCTGTTTTTAAACTGACCCAACACACTGGCCTGGTGTGGTGACTAGCATTTATGCCGTCCAAAAGGGAGTCTGATACGGGTAATGACTCTGCCACATGTCTGAGAAATGCTCTAGCTCTCCCTTTAATCATTCACAACAGCGCCTTTGTAAACAGAAACATCATTGTCAGTCAGTCATTTTTTGAATTTTTTTTGGCGCCGGCCAGCGTGGGGCTTAAGACAACATCTGCTCCTGCTTGACCGACGTCGACCGACCGAAAAAAACAAAAGCAATGATCTCATTGTTGAGTCTCTTTTGAAGTAATTGATTTCAGTCTCCGTCACATGTGCTGATGTATTTACGTGTTTTCTTTCTGCAGCGAGTCAAGACAAACCCTCCAGGAAGCACATCACCACCCCAGCATCCTCTAACCCTGAACCCAGGAAAGATAGCCTTCCTTTGGGCACCACCATCAATGAAAGCAGCCTCCTCCTGGAAGTAAGAAACCATATGACCCATGTGTGTGTGTGTGTCCTGTGTGAGTGACGTCTGCTTCTGATCGCTTAAACAGAAAGTGTTTTCGGCATACAAGCGCCACGGTTCGGCTCGTTTCGGGCGACAAAATGCTCCGTCATGTCGTGTCGTTGCACTTTCTTTCCTCCCCCCCACCCCCTGTGGATGGCACCGTCGGTGAACTCGCCCTGCAGTTCACGCACGTGCCTGTAAGAAGATTTGTCTGAGTGAGTTGCCCTGCGGCGCGACCTCCCTCGTGGAGCCGCGGCGTTGCGGGACACACGGTGGGCGACGCGGCTGCGTCGGAGCCGAAGGAGGGCAATGGGAACTTCCACAAGCAGCCGGCGAGGTGCGTGAGAGTCTGTGTGAAGCACATCTCCCCGTCTAGATGCGCTCACGGAGTGTGAAAGCAAGCAGGAGAGATGCGCAGACTCAGTCTGTCTCTTGACGGTCAAAGCAAATTGCGTTTGACAACAAAATGGGACACACCAGGACTTTAACGTAAACACGCATTAGGGGAGACACACAGACAGGCTGATAGATAACACACTACACCGCTTGTTGCTGGTGAAACAGATCAGGAGCACGCTGCATGGGAACTGCAAACACATCAGATCATTATTACACTCTCCATGACCCGCTGGCTCTCAGTGAGGCTGCAAATTATGACGTTGGTCATTTTCCAGCAGGCAGGGATTCAGAGCCCCGTCCCCTGTTAATGTGTTAACAAACAGGAACGGTTAACAAAAGACTAGATTGACCGTAATGATGTTCCATCTACTGTTGCGTGACTCAGCTTGGACCGAAGCCCTATGGCAAGACCGGGTTTTTACGCAGTGGAGTCCAAACAACCAGATCAGACACGTTTTTTCCCCCTCTTTTAGGCTAGATCGGCAATCTATTACAGAACTTGAAAACTCTACAGAAAAACAAAAATGTGGTGAAGTTCCTTATTTACCAAAGTTTCTGGCAACTGGATTCTGTATGAGTGTACATCATAGAGAAAGTATTCAAATCCTTTCCAATTTTTCATCTCTTTTTTTTTTAAGTGACAAGCTAACAAAAATAGTGCAAAACCAAAGTGGAAAAATCTGAAATTTGCCTTTAAAAGTCATTTGATTGGTAAATAGAGGCCACCTGTGTGTAATTTAATCTCAGTCTAAATCCAGATGGGAAGGCCACAAAGGTTTGTTGGAGAACATTAACGAACAAACAGCGTCACAAAGACCAAGAAAAACAGCAGGCAGGTCAGACAGACAAATGTGGAGATGTTTAAAGCTGGGTTAGGTTATAAAACAATACTCCGGGCTCTAAACGCCTCACAGAGCTCTGGCTGTCGTTTGAAACAGGGAAGAGTGTGTCAACGCTGCAGCCCAAAGGCAGCAGCCAAGAGGCCTGAGATAACTTTGGGAGCAGAAGAGATCCAGGTGAAAGACTTTGTTAGTTTAGATTGGGCCCAGTTCTAGCCCACAGGCACACAGTGTTGATCCAACCCAATTGGTTAACTCAACATCTTTTTTTTAAATTATGATTTTACTATTTTAGATTTTAATCTGCTGTTTAAGTAAACGGTGTAGCTTCTTCCCTTTATTTTTTTGCTTTTCTTTAACATGTCCCGGCTCCAGTTTTTTTGCTTGTTGTAACCGCAGAGTGAGTCAAGTCAAATCTTCTGGGATGTGTGGCTCAATCTGAACTCTACAGTTTGTTCTTATTATTTTTTTATCATTTATTGTGAACAATTTATTATCATAAGAATTTTGATTTCTTGTGGTCTCCATCATTTTTTTTTAATTTTTTGTCAAACTGTTATTTACACTAAAATTATTTGACTTTCTCTGGTGTTTGTTCCACAAGACAGTCAATAAATATCACTAAATTGAAAAATATGATCAATTACCGTTACTGTGTTCAGTTTAGTGATATAAATCAAGCTTCTTTAAGGTAAATGACTTCCTGAAGAAGCCTATTTCAGACAGGAATGTCTGCAGTGCTACGAACGCTGTGCCATAAAGCTACCTTACAAAAGAAGTAATTGTTATTCTATCATTAATAGCACCACAAAATATTGTGATAAAATCCTAGGTCTTTATTAAGCATTCCTACTTGACAGGACAACCAATACGAAGCTGGCTTTTATGGAAAACAGGCGAGAAGAAAGTCACTGTTGAAAGAAAACGATAAAAGCTCCTATTTGCCGTTTGCTGCATGACGTAGCAGACAAAGCAAACACAAGGGGAAACTGGACATTTTTCTCTATGTAGCGCCACAACTTTTAAGATGTTGGAAGTTAAAGTTTTTAGTTTCTCTTGGGGGCTGTCTGTAGTTGCAGATATTTTGTGCCGCGGGACAGCAACAGGTGTTTCCACTACCTAAAAGCTTCAGGATCCAAGAAACTGAGGGAAATGATGAGAAAAACATATAAAAAAGGCACTCTGTGTAGCGTTGCCAGTGTTAGTACAGTAGTTTTTTTTTTTTTTTTCCTGACTTCTGCAGCTCTGCAGTTTTCACATAACTGTGGACAAGTGGAACATAGTTAGTCGTTCTTGGCATTTGTGTTTTATGTAAAACACGATGCAAACGCAATTCTGTGTCCCTTAAACCAGCGAATCTCCACGTTTTGTGCTCAAACACGGGAACAACGACTGCGCTGCGCTCATCTGTGATAAATTTGCCAGTAGAAATGTATCACAATTACCTTTTTTGTAAAGCTAATTGAAGTAATCAGTAGAAAAAATATGTATTAGCTTTTATTGCCCAAATACGCCCTTTCAGGTTAAAAGATCCTGTTTGTTCCAGAAAAATAAAACTGCCAGAGCCCTTCAGGGTTTTATTGCTGCATTTATTGCAGGATTTCAGTGACTTGGAGGACACAAGGGAAAAAAGTGCATCACTGAGTACATAAACTTGCGTGCGACCGACATGAAAAAAAAGCTGACCTCTTTTTGGCCCCTGTAGGACTTCATGAAAACAACATGGCTTTCCTCTATATACAGTATATGCTCACATCTATTGTTTGAATGAACAATCACAGAGATGATTGGCAGAAAAACTCGTCGTTTTAATCATTTAAAAGGTCATTCTGACTGAAATATCGGAACGTTTTCACCTGCGGAGCTGCGTTTTTTATCCCACAGACGCCAGAAATGTTTACATTTCCGCCACAGGCGCATCGGATCACGATTAAAGTCACTGTTTTCATGCACACTTATTAAATCTGGCTCTGGCGTTCTGTTTCTGGATGATATTACGGGCGTTCCAAATCCCTTGAAATTAGGAATCTTAAATATGTTAAGCTGCATTCAGTATTTATTCGTTCTTCCAAAAATGTTCACAGTCGTGTGTTTTGAGTGGCTGCCAGAGCAGTCGGTGCCTGTGTGTGTGTGTGTGTGTGTGTGTGTGTGTGTGTGTGTGTGTGTGTGTGTGTGTGTGTGTTTGGGGTCAGCGGGGGGACATGTGCCAGCAGTTGAACTTGTCAAACATCGTCTGCATCAACGCGACCGAGCACCTATCTCCCATCCTCCCACCGCCCGGCTCCTCACTCTCGTCGTGCTCAACCCGCTTCTGAACACGATCTTCTTTAATTGCGATGCCGCAGTCCGGACATTTTTCTGGGTAACGGCTTTCACAGTCCACCTCTCAGTGCATCATGAGCTCTACGGCGCGAAAGGAGAGCGATCAGTTCAGTGAGTTCACAGGCCGAGTTGTGACGGAGTGTGTGCAGTGGAATGGCGTCCCCTGTGGATGGTTATCAGATCACTGTAAGGTGTTTGTGAAAGGGGGAGGAAACTGTGGGAGTGAGTGTGAATTTAGTGACCATGAGGATGTACTCCATGTAAAATACCTCCCCCCTTTCCCTCCCAACACACACACACACACACACACAGATCCGAAAAGTCCTGCATATTCTCGCTGTAAAACAGAGGTGACAGACTCTGGCAGCAGCAGTCACGCAAGTCAGCCGGTCCTGCTGTTGTCACGCAATCCAAGCCGCACAGATGAGAGGACCCCTTCCACATATCCTTCCTGTAACTTCTTTCTTTTCCCTCTTCTGTTTGGGTTTTTCCTCATACCTTTTGCTTCCCTCTCCATCCGCACATTTGACTGAAGCCGCCACATTGTTTATGTGCAGCATTCCTATTTGATCAGCTTTCATCTGGCTGCTCAAACAAACCAAACAAAGATGAACTTTCAACAACAGCAGAAAAGAAATGTGTTTTTTGCTTTTGGAGACTTACTCGCATTTATTTATTTGTTTCACAAGACCAAAACGATCACTTTAGTTTTAAGGTGAAAGGCTTTGTGTCTGTTTCAGCCACGTTGACAATCACTTCACTAGTACAGCACGCCTAGATGCCAACAGAGACGACTTTATTTTTCCCCAAAGTAAAACAACTTCAGAAACAACATGGGTTTCTTTTGCCTACTCTTCAACCTGACCTTCTGTGTTTAATTTTCACTATTGTTGACATTGTATTGTTTGGATGTCCTACAGTGCCAAAAATCATGTAAAATAGGATATTATAAAATTAAGAGACCACTTAAAATGATCAGTTCTCTGATTTTACTTTTTGTAGGTATATGGTTGAGTAAAATGAACATTGTTCTTTTATTCTAAGAACAACAAAGGATTCATTATTATTATTATTATTATTGTTATTATTATTATTATTATTGACGTATCTAGACGATTGCAGATTTCTTTTCCAATATGGCCAGCAAGATTAATTATTTGTCATTTATTATGTTTTGGCACATTTGGAACTCTGTACCTTTGTTCCATTTTTACTGACTCTTATGAAGACTTTCATACATTCATGAAAAGAAAATGTCTAATGAATTTGTGCTACATTTAGCATCTAGCTTCAAAGAAACATTTTGTACTTTAGTTCCTTTAGGTCACAATAAATAAATAGAGAAATAAATGTACTTATTGCTCTTATGTTTATTTACTGCATGAATTTACAATTTCTGTGTGTGTATGTGTGTGTGTGTGTGTGTGTGTGTGTGTGTGTGTGTGTGTAGTCTCTAACAGGCTTTGCCTTGGTGGTGAGCAGTGATGGCATGGTTTTTTATGCTTCCTCAACCATTGTGGATTACTTGGGTTTCCATCAGGTGAGTTGAAAGTCTTCATACTTATATACACATAATACATAAATCATATGTTTCAAATTAGAAACGTATGAACAGTGGCCGAGGTTTTCGTCACACGTAGGCTGTGGAAATTGAGATTAAACAAATCCATATTCAAAATAACGAAGCTGCCAGGTGTGTGGGAAAGGATTAAGTGCTCAATGCTAATAATGTAAAGAACTACCATTGGCTTGGGATTATGTGTTTTATGGGAATATGGGGAAAAAAAACATTGAGGTAACAGAGAGTTTACTAATAAAAAGAACACCGACTGAACACAATTTTTGATCAAACAAATGAAAATCAACCATGTAGAAATGTTCTGGTGTGTTTTCACCGTCAGTATGTACCAGAAAGCCTTTCTTCCACCCTGACACTCTTTGGATGCCTGCGCGTGAATCACCCCACAATTTAACATTCTCCCTTTCTGGTGTCAACACTGGCTATCCCATTCCGTCATGCTAACGCTACCACCCTCCTCTAAAACGATAAACAAATCGCTTTTCAGTGTTGAAATCTCTCTTTTGTCCGCAGGCGGTCGACATATAAACCACTGTGGTCTGAGACACTCTGCCTCACTTTATCTACGTGTCGGTCTGCATTTGTGCAAGGTTCATTATGGAAGACAAGCTTTGAGAGAACTGCATAAAAAGCTGATACTAAATTTAGGAAGTGTCATGATCCTTTGTGCCAATAATATTTGAGTATTTGTACTCAGGGTTAAATTGTGAAAAAGGACAGTTCAGAATTATTTATGTAGTTATACAAGGAGTAACGGGTCAGAAATGAAGTGAAGCACTGGATTCTGACTGGATGCTCTGAATATCTTTGCTCACACGTTCTTATCAACAGTTTTATCATTTGGTTGCTGCATTATGCTATTTGGTTAACCAAATTTTCCATCTTGCGGAGGCGTAAAGCTGTCCGAACAGTAGCGCTAAACGTAAAGTGCTCCCATAAAAGACAACGCTGCATTGTTTTCACACACATTTCAGGACAAAATCAAATTCTGAGAATCTTTTTAACCAGTTCTTGAATTAGAGTTCAGATTCCACTCCCAGACGCAGCTTGTCCGGCGAAACTAAAGTGATCTCAATAATAACCTTCTTAAATTAATGGAATAAGTCTTTTTTTTTTCTTTTTGCCAAAAGTGATATTTGTACATAAATCAACTTTTGGCAAAAAAAAAAAAAAGGATTCATGCCATTAATTTATTGTGGTGGTGATATTATAGCTTAGAGAGAATTAAAACATCAAATCTTCAGTTTTGTACCACTTTTCACACAGGAGTTCAGCGTTCGCCCAACCGATTATTCATATTTATTTATGTCGTTACTCCATTAAAAGCTGAAATGAAAACATATTTTTTCTCTCAAAACGCACTTTTAAATTTTGTGTTTCAATGTTTAATTTACATTTTGCTTAACTCTATGTGTTAAATGTAAATAATGGCAAATGCTACAGCTAACATTACAAACTGTAATAAATCACGTTAGAAGCAGAAGGAATAACTGCTGGTCTCGTTTTAGATAAAACAATTAAAGATCATTTCCAAAGATTTCGTCTTTAAATCTTTACAAGCTGTGTCGGCTGACACGACATTCTGCAACCTGCCATGCAGATGGACTGTGAATTGAACATTAAAATACAAATTAAATTGTCAAACTCCCGTCACGTACAAGCGGCTCTTTGTTTTGGCGGTGCGGTCGCGGTGGTGTGACAGTTCACTGGCCCTGATGTAGTCGTTCCACATGGGTATTTTTTCATTAGAGAAATGCAAAAATGCGTGTTCAATTGAAAGAGACAAGGTATTGACACGCAAGGACATGAAGGAGAGCCGAAACACCGCAGCACGCAAACCACATTCTTGAGTATTTGTTGGTGATCAAAAGGTTCCATTTCCCCACATTTAGGACTTGAAAATGAGACACTCCCACTCCTCCAAACACACACACACACCTACATGCACACACACACATGCCTACACACACACACACATACTTTCCTTGACAAGGCCTCAAACAAACACGTTGCACCAGTTTGGGCCCATAACTGTAGTGAGAGGACACTTATTAATATACCACAGAAAAAACAAAGAAAAGAGAAGGCTCCACTGAGTGGCACCACAACAAAAGCCCCAGAGAGAGGCAGAAAACATTCACTGGTCTTTGATCCAATTTGTCGCTGGAGCAGTTAGCCTTTGAAGGTCAGTTAAAACATCACTTACTCTCCCCTTCTTCTTTTTTTCCCCCTCGTTCTTTCCCTCTCTGCATGTTTCTTTACGAGACACAAAAACAATAGTCACTCGATCCGTCTGTGCGCCCGAACGCCAGTAGGGAACCGCAGTCCGCGGGGCCAAGTGCTTTGCGAAGACGGTGGGAACAGATTGTGTTTTCAGAGGCAGGCGATCAAAAACCCTCGCGTGCCACCGCCATGGAAATTCTTGAGAGAGGGCGGGGGTCGAGGGAGAGAAGGGAAGAGGAGAAGGTTGAACGTTACTGCGAGGAATCTGTCAGGGAATGACAGAAAGCAAAAGTTATTGCTGGAAAAGAGAGAGGGGAGAGGCCTGATGAAAGCGGGATGGAGCCCCGGCTCAGGTTGTGTGTGTGTGTGTGTGTGTGAGAGCGGACAGGGATGGGGAGGGCTGGCTGAGCCGGACCGCTGCTCAGGAGCCGGTGTCACGCAATGTTTGACAAACACAGCTGCCCTCTCCGCTCATGCAGCTGCCCTTCGGCTGTTTGCTGCACTGACTAAATCCTCCTGACTTGTGTGTCTCGCTCTGTGTGTGTTTATAGGGATGTGTATTGATCTGGCATAACGCTATGACTATCTGCCTGCGTGTTGGTTCCCCAGACATGTTGAGGCATGGACTCCATTAGCATCAAGTGTGTGGCACCAGGATTGGAGCAGCATACCTTTTACGTTCTGCGTGTTGTGAGGTGCGGCCTCCAGGCGTTGCACTTGTTTACTCACTCACCCCACAGATCGTAGACTGTCTTAGGGTCTGGGAAAACATGAGGCCATCATTCTTATGCTCCTCAAACAATTCCTCAACCACTTTTCCTTTGTGGTGGAAGTCATTATGGTGCTGGAAGAGCCCACAGCCGTCAGATTATACCATGCCTGGTCTGCAACAGTGCTGTATGTGGAGCATGGTGACATTAACGTGAATCACAGGACCAAAGGTTTTCCAGCATCGTACCGTCCAAAGTATCTCACTACCTTTGCCACTTGCCTTTTTCCCCCATTACAGTTCTGGTGCCGCACCTGGATACCCACATGATTTATCCACCCTGACCACCTTCTTCCACCTACATGTTCCCGTTCCGATGCTAACACACCCTTTGTTGGACTGTAGCTCTATGACTTTGGCTACGTTCACAAAGCGGCTAAATGCGATCCAAATCCACTTTTTATTGCCCATTTGGGATCCATATGAAACTTTTTTCACCGCAGTCTGAACGGCCTGATTCCAATCTTTTCAGTGCCCCACAAAAAAAACCTGATCTCTGCCACTTCCACATATGGTACTACTTCCGATATGCATCCGATAGTTTCCAAAGCGTCTGCAGAATGAACGGTCATGTCGCGTTTTATCCGGTATTTATGTCGCTGATGTGAGGCATGCATCATAATTCTGCCAAACCCAAATGTGGTGAATCTGAATGTAAACAACGGTTGAAAATTATGATTATAAAATTACGAAAGACGTCTGTGTCACTGAAGCGCATCACGTCACAGTCCCACCACTCCTCGCTCTGACTGCACATCCAGACAGACTTCCCTACAGAAGATGTAGTCAGTGCTGCACTGAAGGCCGTTGCTATTAGTTGTATTTTCTTTTTATTAGCTTCCTTCTTTTGACATTACTGTCGGCTCTGAATAATTTTAAAAAGAATCCACAGAGAGCAGCTATGGATTCAGTAAACCGTCCACTGCTTTGTGACGCCAACGCACGCATTTCGCTTTGACGTCATAAACTGTCACACAGAAGTTTAATGCTCCTTAAACACTTGTACACCTGAGATGCACTGTGTACTCTGACACAGTTCTATCACTACTGAACCTTCTCTGGATGCAAGCAAACCTGTACGGTCCAATCAATTACCTCACATCCTTATTTGGACCACAATTTATAAATACCTACCACAGTAGACCACACAAGAGCTTCTGTTTCTGTTCAGCCGTCACATTCAACCCTTTTCAAATTCACATTTAGCCCAGTTCAGACCACTTGTTTTTTTCTGATCAACGCGTGTTTTGCATGTCTCCCAATCAACTGAAAGACTAAAATGACAGGAGGTTTAAATCTGCCAATCAGTATCAAACCCTGATTCATCTTGGCAGTTTATGATAAACCCATAACCTCCGTGAACGTCACTGCAGAACGAGCATGACGTGCCAATGTTGTACAAAGTAAACTGCGTCGGTATTAGCAGAGCAGAGCCACCAGATGATCTTTCATCTTCCACTTGATCTCGGAAATATATATCGACTGGCAAAATCTGAAGCGGAAAATAACAGGATGAGGAAAACTTACAGGTTTGTTTTCTGATTGAAACACTAAATTCATTTAAGCACCAAAAGGTTCGTGACGCTTAGCTTAGTCGGATTTCTGAAAAACCCTCTGATTGGATGAACGCTGTGTGCTTTAAGCCACGCCCCTTTTGTTCTGCTAACCTGCTAAATGAGCTGAAAGCTAACAGAGTCTGGGAGCATCATTTTAAAATGGCGCAACTAGACAAAGCAATCCATAATAGGTTTTTTGTGGGGGGTTATGTTGGATCTTAAAGAGGCTACTGATCGTCAATAAAAAAGTGTTTCATTCTTTATAATGCAATGTTAAAGCTTTTCTGAGATGAAAAGACTTACTTTCTCTAAAGCTAGGCGCACGTTGGAGAAACCCTCTCGTCCTTCCGTCTGTCTGACCGAAACCTTTCCCCGCAGACCGACGTGATGCACCAAAACGTCTTCGACTACATCCACATAGACGACCGCCAGGAGTTCAGACGCCAGCTCCACTGGGCCATGTGTCCCCCACAACATCAGGCGATGTCTGGGCAGCCAGATGGCCAGTTAGCAGCGGGAACAAGTGCGTACTGCTCACAAGTTTGTTTTTTTCCCCCCCACATAAATTGCTTCTCATATTCACATTCTCTCACCATCGTATTACAGGTGAAGACTTTGTCGTGAGCAGCATGTTCAACTCTCCGGAAGCAGGGGAAATTCCCCCAGAGCTCTCCTGCTTTCTCAACAGATGTTTCATAGCCAGAGTCCGCTGTCTCCTGGACAGCACGTCTGGGTTTTTGGTGAGTGCTCCGAACCGGCCAAAGCAAACTCCTAGAAGACACAAACTAATCTAAAATTGAAATTATTGCCTTCGTGCAACCAATTTTATTGCACAATTTCAGCTTTTACGGTTATTTCTCTAGCATTAATCGGGTTTAGTTCACACTTTGCACCACTGCTTGTGACGGTTTTGAGACCCGCAGAGGGAAATAATCATGGTCAAGAGTTGGGAAATAAAAAGAGTGTAAGTTTCTGTTGGAGTTAGCAAAATGACATCTACAATGTCTTGTTTGGCTGCCATGTTCTGCAAACCAGAAGCTCCACATGATCGCCTTCTGCCTCCTACCTTACTGCCAATTACCTAGTAAATGTTGATAACATAGTCCCTACTGAAAAATGTTACAAATATGACACAAATTGTAATATAATAACCCTTTTCAGTTGTGTTGCAAAACAAAATTAAAGTGACAAATATTTGTTGCTAACAAGCTAAATCAAGATGGTGAATCAGCTAATCTGCCCATTTTAGCCTACATGCTAAATGCGTTAGCATCTTCAGGGCAAATTGGCTAAATTTCCAGAGCTGTGAATGCAGAGGTCAACTCTTTCACTGTGTTATTTGGAAAACAACACAGTAGAATGATCTGCTTTGTCATTTTGAATGTTGACGTGGTTTAGCATAGGCTGATAAAAGATAAAGTGAACTGTGCCCACTCTTGTAGCCTGCAGCAGCTCTCATCAAGATTAGAGCATAAAAAGGGTTGCTGAGTCATATGACGCAAGATTGAATTTAGATTGTGCCACATGGTGTACCAAAAATAAAAATATTATCAAGAGCTAACATTGAACAGCAAATGAAATTCGCATGAATACGTGAACATATATTTAATTTGTTTCTGTTTCATTTCAGACGATGCAGTTCCAGGGTCGGTTAAAGTTCCTCCACGGGCAGAAAAAGAAGTCGCCCTCTGGGACGCTGGTTCCCGCCCAGCTGGGTCTGTTCTGCATCGCCGTGCCCCTCTTACTGCCCTCCATCACCGAGATGAAAGTGAAAAATATTTTAATGCGGGGAAAGAACAAAGGTGGGGGGATTATCTCTCCGATGGAGCATGGGTAAGAGAAGATGACACTACAGGACTTACATTCACTTTGAATGATTAGAAGAATCGGAAACTTTAAACGGTTGGAAAGCAAATGTGCCTGGCACTGATTGAAATTGCTGTCAAAGTGTTTAAGCAGCGGCAAATTCAGGTACAAATTGAACTAAAATTACAGCTGCAAGTCGTTTATTTGAAGTATGCATTTGTACAACTAGAAAGGAAAAATATGCGTACTTGCAAAATACAAAGAGCACAAACTTCACAAAAAGCAGAAATTAGCTTTAATTTTAAGCCTAAAACACATGAATGTGGGTTGATTTAAGCTTTGCATCTTTCCAGCAACTTTAATCCATAGCTCTTAAAAAAAGTATCCCCACATCATGACAATGCCACCACCATGCTCCACAGAGAAGATGGTGTGTTTGATGGCCAGAAGTCTCCATTTTGTTCTTTCATCAGACCAAAGAACTTGTTTATCATGGAGTCTCCCACGCTGCTTTTGGCAAACTCTAGTTGAAAACTATGGTTTTCTTCACCAGAGTGCTTACTTTATTTGGTGAAGTCAAATAGGTACCACTTTAGTGATTCATGACTTAACAAAGGCATAAAAAACAGTATATGGCTTAGATTAGTCTCTTCCAGTGTAAGGTCTCGAACCAAACTCCCTCCTGGGAGGCACCATAAATTACAGAGGGTGCCAAAATTAGATCTGTTTTTATAAGCACATCACAAAAACAGCAACATATTTGCAGAATTTTACATTTCTGGTTGAATGTAAAACACATGAAACGCTGCTCTGAACCACAAACATTTCACACAAGTGTTTGTGATTTATGGGTGGGGGAAAGGAAATTAAAAAAAAGAAAGAAAAGAAAAAAGAAACTCAAACGGCACATCAACAAACATGTGGGAGCGGCTTCGTAATGTGGCACTATCCATGTGTCTTCATGGACCACTTGCTGAAAAAAATGAAATCCTATTTTAAGATCCTTGACAAAGTGTTTGGCACTGTTGGATAGACATGCATCTGTTTGAGATTATCATGTTATTATAAGTTCAAATGAAGTTAAACCACTGCCGCTTTATAGTATTAAAACAAATCATCTAATTTAATTTATTAAAAACAGAAAGCAACAAATGTTTTTTATGTGATATAGACCACTGCTTATTACAGTTGGAATATTATCCACATTCATTTATTGTTTTGATTCTGAGACAAAAACTAGAGGGAAAAAAAAAGTGAAACACTCAATAAATTTAGGAAAACAGTGCAGAAATATTACATCTTTTTTAGTCGCTCTGTCGGACTATCTGATATTAGCTAATAGCTATTAGCAGTTTCATTGGTTAGGCTATCTGCTTCAGCAGTTGCCTGCTAGTGTCGAAAAAACACAATTTCGAAATACATAAGAAACGCTATTGAAATCACACGTGAAGTTTTGTTCATGCAATAATTCATTAAAAAACAACCCGCACTATCCTCCTACCATTTCCTGTCGCCTTCTTTGTCATTTCCACCAGTAGCAACATCCAAAAAAACACCTCATCCTGGCCCCAAAATGTTTTACCAAAAAATGATTTTTTTATTTTTTTTTTTAATTGCTACATTTCCTTAAACTAATTAATTTTTACACAGATATCGACAGACTGGCGACCTGTGCTAGAAACATAACGCTCCCACTGTGTTTGTTTGCTGTGCACTGCCAACAAACCTAGAGATCTTCGAGTTGTGCGTGTAAACGCTGTTGTTACTTCCTCAGATGGGACACATCCCAGAAAACATGAGTCACATATGGAATTATTCTCATGACCACCACAGTGAATCAAGCCGAGATATTTATTTTTTGACTCATCTCTAAGTAAAAAGGAAGAAAATAGGGCAATCCCAACATAGTCACACAAATAGAGCGGCACTATTTCTGAAGCAACACTTGCCAAACAATCTGTCGACTCCACTGAGTTATTTGAAATTGAGGTTTTTGAAAGTGAGCTCTGGCTGTTGCTCATTAAAAGGATTGTCAAGCTGTGTGCATACTATGTGCTTTGTTCTTTTAATAGCCAATAATGGAACAACAAAACGTATCTCACAAAAACCTTCAATCACGTCCACAGATATGTTTTGTGTTGCTTTTTAAGGTTTATTCAGCCCAGAAAACTCAATTGAAAACGTTTTAGCCCATTTGTCCAACAAAGATGATACATTTCACCAAACTCAACCAGCTGTTAACCACATTTTTGACATCAACAGGCATTTTTATTAACGTGTTTTGTTCCATCTTTACAATGCTAAAGACAGATGGTAACACAATTGTGCTCTTGGGATAAAGTAGTAAAACATCTTTATTGTTAGACGAAAATATCTGTACATTTATAAAACACTTCACTTCCTTCAAAACTCTTGCAGGAAAGAAGAAACTCAGAGCAGATAAAAGTCATCATAGAACAATCTCAAAATGTACAACACCCTTCATTCCCTCACATGTCACGAGTGAAAGCCAGTTTTTTTCCACAAGGTTTTCACCCAAACACATAATTTTTAATCTACCAGAAAAATCTCCGCCCTGCAGCTTGGTGAACATCATTTCCTTTAAAATTCAAAAGCCTTCTTGGATCAACAAAACTAATAATGTTACAATTCTCGCCCTGAATTGCTCCTCAGGTTCCTCCCTGTCATGTATGAAATATGCTGAGTCATTTTAGCATGATGAAAAAGCTCTTTCCTCTTCCTCTGACTGTGCACTACAGTGAAAGATGAAACTGGGGTCACCAGTAATTGTGATTTTTTTTTCTGTAATATGCTGCTGAGAGCATATCTGTACTGTGTCACCCATTGCTACATCAGCTTGCTAATCAGATGTTGTTCATTAGTCCCTCAAGAAAGAAAGGACAAAACTTCATACTGAATTCACATGTGGGCTGGTATCCGGGAAGAAGAACTTGTGAATAAATGCTGCCCCTGTTTTTTCCTCCGTAGTGAGCATGGGGAACACCTTCGGAGGCATTCCACCGGTGGAGGAATGGGTGACATGACAGACCCTCTTCTCTTCACTTGTCCCCATCCGGGCGCTACACAGCGAAGCCACCACACGCTCTGGTCCCCTCTTTGCAAAGACAACCTCAAGTGCGGCTCCGACGGCTTCTACGGTCAGGAGGAACCCCTCAACTTCTGCAAGTCCTCCATGACGGACCACAAAGGCGCGGCCGCGGGCCTAGGCGGAGGGTGGCCCATGCGGCAGCGGATGGGGCCCATCAGAGCCGCCCAGGGAGTCGGCTACGTCCCATCCAACCGCCTGAACAGGACTGGCCAGTACGGGAAGCCCTACCGCCTCTCGCCGAGCTGCCAGGGCGGCAGGGGCTCAGACGTGTACGTGTCGAAGCTGTATGGGTCGTCGGACGCGGACGCCTACTGCGTAGACCTGGTGAAGAGCGAGAACGACTTCGGGGAGTGCTACGAAGGTCACATGATGTCCGAGATGCCGCCCATCAAGATAGAGCACGACTCCGACTCGGAGAACGGATGCGAGACGTACGGTCAAACCTGGGCCTGCCGCAACCAGGCCACCATCGACCGTCACTACGGGAACGGGGCGTACAACCCAAGCACTGGCCTGCAGCTTAAATCGGAAACGGACTACTACGACCCGCAGTACTCCCCGTGCCAACGAGGGAAAGCAGGAATCAGCCCCACGTACAACAATGGCGCCTACCCCGGCTACGCGGTCAACAGCGCCGCTCGTCTGCTGAAGTGCGACAAAGACTTGGTCAGTAACGGCGACTCCAACCAGTTCAGTCCTCAGAGACTCTCTCACTCGGACTCTCTATGCAGCAACCAGCCGGTCAACCTCATGGAGCCAAACGTCTACCCTCAGAAGGCGTACATGCACCTGGACTACAGCAAGCACGGCGCCTACGAGTTCAAAGGTCACGGCTTGATCCACTCGATCAAACGGGAACCGATGGACTCCCCGCCCTGGTCTGAGAACGGCCACGACATGAACCAGTCCATTATGGGCGGCTCGAGGAACGTTATGCCATGTGTGATGAGCACGGGCCACCACAAGTCCAGTCCCTACATTTACATGCAGTGAGAGGACGGCGGCCGCACGTGAACACATCAGCAGATATCTACCCGCACACAATCCCCCTTCACACGCACAATTACACACAGACACAAACAAATCAGTACGTATTAACTTGTTTTCCCCTTTAGCGTTTCACGTACACGTGTGCTAGCATTACAAAGGAAGGGTTACCACGACTACCACGATGTCAGACATTTTTCTCAAGTTTAATGAAGAGTCTCAGGTTCAAAAATCTGTTTTGACAATCAACTATTTGACTTTCAGAAGATGTTACTTAAAAAAAAAAAAAAAAAAAAAAGGTACAGGTTTTGGTTTTTTAGCACTTTTGAATTTAGTGAGAGTGAGCAAAATGTCCAAGAAAAAAAATTTCTTTAGTTTTTGTATTGTTACACCTGGATTTTGCAAGGAACTGTTTTATTTTTCTAAACTTTGTACACAGGAGAAAACTTACATCCGCTGACAGTTTCGTTTAAATTGATGTTTAGGATAAATGCACTTTGAAGTCATTTTTGAATATTATTTTGATGTGTCCAAAAACGTGCGTGCCGTGTAAAACCCCATTCATGTAATGTGATCACTTTCAATGAATTTAAATCAAACTTTAGATGGAACAAAAAAAAAAAGACTCGAAAGGCTTTTCTTATGCAATAGAACGCCAGATATATTAAGATGTGGCTTTTCACTGAGACAATCTCACCAATTTGTGCCCTCATGTTTCTCTTTGTACTTGGCATTTTCGATCATTGTGTATAAATTATGACATATCCGTTTATTTAAGATATTCTTTTGCAGCAGCAGATGTGTATTAAAAGTACTAATAACCCTAGTGGATTTAAAAATTATCAACCCCAAACTTCAAAATGATTTACTACTATGTACATAATTTTTTTTTCTGTGCGGCAACTCTGGAAGAGCTACCATAGAATCGTCGCTCAGGTGCGAGAAGTCACGTGCGACATAAATGATAAAACCTTGTGGTTGCAACATGACAAAATGCTAAAAAGTCTGCCAGGCATAAATACCTGCAAGGCGCTATGTGATCAGAAATCAAGCATTACAATTGCAGAAACTTGAAAATTCTTATCTATAGTAATAAAACAAAAATAAACAAGTGTCATCGTTCAAGATAACGCACTCAAATCATGTGAAATTGAATCATCTTTGCTTGTCTTTTATTGCTTATGTAATGAACTTCAATTCATCTCATTTAAAAAATTTTTTTACACTTTAAAAAAACAAAAACATTATATCCCAATGCTTTAGCATAAAGTTTATTAAAAATAGCACTACAGACTACTTTATTTTGAGATGATTTTACAAACTACACCAGCAGAGCACAGTCCATGTGCAGGTAATTACCAAAACATGTTCAACCAATAGTAAGGCCATAGAACGTTTTGCATCTTATTCAACAGCACTTGTTGGGTTGGACCCAGCAAGTAGAGGAACTCAGAGCCTCATCCACGTCTCTGTGGTGTGTTTTCATCAGCAGGCCACGGTTTGATGCGTCGCCCTGCGTTTGCTGCACGGCTCTGAGCTCATTTTGGAAGAAATGAAGGGAGTGAAATCAGTCTCTCTGTGCCTAAAGCACAAATACGATGCGAGCACATCGGGATGTTTTCTGACTGAAGCAGTCAGTCAAGACAAACGTGACGGATTTCCCACGCCTAATTTATCGAGCACATTAAAAGTGTATCTAGATGATTATATGTTTTATTTTCGTTTCACCAGCTCACATCTCACTGCAGATCTGACACATTGTCATTGGGAGAAATGTTAGCTTTCCTTGTCGTCTACTCTGTCCAAATGCATCTGGCTTTTGTGTTCACGTCAGTATTTTTTTTAATTATTATTATTATTATTTCTTTGTTTTTATTGTTGCACAAAGTCATTCAAGACTAATCCAATCTGAGTCTCAGTTCTGTGAAGCTACCGTCGTAGCTTCTGAATTGCACTACTGGGAAATAGTTCAGTTGAAGTTCAGCCTACCCAGACACGTGTTTGAGTCGTCACGCACAACTGCATACAGTGTCACTGTCGTGGATTTGTCCTTTTTCTTTTTTGTGTGCGTGTGTGTACGCGTGCTCATGTCAATAAATGTTTCATGATTTGTATTTATTTGTAAATGGTAAGTGTATAATTTAAAAAACAAAAAGTCTAAATTTGAAGGCTCTCCCTGTTTTGCTAACGTAAAGAAACAAAATGGTTTTTTTTTGTTTTTTTTTTAAAATTTTCCAAAAAAAAAAAAAGAGGCTTATCTCATGGAGGAGGTAGCTGCAAGGTAGCGAACATGGAACATATATATATATATATATATATATATATATATATATATATATATGCAGTGTCTTCCAATGTTTTTATGTTTTTGCAAATGGGACTTAAATATTAAAGATTTTCTTTACATACAAAGGGTCTGGATGTTGAATTTTTGTCTGAAAATCACTTGAGGCATGACTGCCATAAAGGCAGCAAAAAGTTATCAAAACCAGTGAACAGATGTTTTTAAAAGGTGGTATTATTTATTTCCCAGACACACATTGCTATTTTATAGCACAATCAATCAACTGTTACCTTCAGTAGCTAGAAAAATGTTCACAAAGAAATTTGACTTCACAGTTTGATGCCTTGAAATTGCCCTCTGTCTCTTTAAGAAGCACCCGCTCTTTCCGACATTCCACCTTCAGGAAGTCATCACACATTTAACACCATTTTTACCAGGGTGTCACTGATTTTATATCTCAGCCAATGCGCAGTTCCACCAGGTGTTTGCTAATTGCTGCTGGCTAGTCTGAAGGAGCTGAGTGGGGAAGCCACGCTTTGTGCGACGGAAGCTCAGCCATGGACTGAAGCTCCAAAGAGGATCTTCGTGGAAATGGGCGGAGCTTTGTGAGAGCCTAGCGTTTGGGCACTCCTGAGTGGTTGCCATGGAGATTCAAGAATTTCAGACATTAAACAGAAAGAATCAAACCAACACTCCAGAATAACATTATAGTATGAACCATAGCTCAAAAATGTCAATTTTACATAATACCCATATTGAGGCAGAATGCAGGCAGGGAGAATCAGGCAGCTGCTATGAAGTGGAGGAGACTAGTAGGCTCAGGGAAGGTGAATGATAAACAGAGAGCTGAACTGGGAGCCAGAGAAAGTAACATTAATCAAAGTGAACAACATCCAAAAGCACAAAGGGCAAAATAAATTAACTGACCTGAGGATCATAACACTGACATATTTCCATAATCTGGAGCTTAGATCAGGCCATTTTTCTGGCCAATCAAATACAGTGATAAAAAGGTCAATAAACTGGGTACTGGTAGTTGTGTGTGTGTGTGTGTGTGTGTGTGTGTGTGTGTGTGTGTGTGTGTGTGTGTGTGCGCACGCCAAAGAGTGCCAAGTCCTGCAAATGAAATCAGCTTCTCCATAAAGTTTGTCAAAATAAGGAAGCACTGGAAGAACTTTATCTGACTTTGGACTTGAT